AGAGAGAGAGAGAGAGAGAGAGAGAGAGAGAGAACAGGAGAGACGTGTCGCAAGGATCGAATGGAAGAGGGAAGGAGAAGAGGGAAGAAGGAAAAGAAAGAGAGCAAGAAAAGCAGAGACGTGCCGCAAAGATGGAATGGAAGGGAGAAGGGGGGGGCGAAAGCCAGGAAGGGTCCCGGCAAGATCGGTGGACAGACCCCTCTTTCAAGGTTTCACAATCTTCTCTTTCTCTCTTGCCCTGACTATCGCCCCCTCTCCTTTCCTACCTCCTACGCCTACCCCCAGGCGTACGCTGCGGAGGAATTGTACCGGAGGGAATGGCGCTTCCACAAGGAAATGAAGCTGTGGGTGAAGTTGGAGAAGGGAGAGTATTTCTACTTCGACATAAATAACTGGTACGTCCCGCCCTGTTCCCCCGGCCCTCCCCTCTCCACATCCTCCTTCGCCTTGTCTTCCCACCAGAGTGATGTCTTCGGCGTTGATTGAGGCATTTTGGGCTCAATGTCGAGGATCCTAACACTTTCTTGGTGCGACCCTCCCTTTTCCCCCACTTCCTTCCCCCCCCTCCTACCTCCAGGACGAAGCGCTCCTTCCCTCAGACCACCCCTGCGAATATCTCTGCCATTACTTCAGGTATGCCGCAGGGAAAAAGGGAAACGGGGGAGGAGGCAGGGACGGAAGGAGGGAGGGAGGAGGAATATGCACCCTTGTCCTCCGTTATATCGTCCTCTGTTCTCCCAAACCCACGGTATAACCTCCCACTTTTCTCCTTTCGTGAATCCAATCAGGTCTCTTGAGCGAGGAGGACGTCAGAATGCAATTTCCAGCGGGGGGAGGGGCACCTTTGCCCCTGACTGGTAAGGAGAGAGTAGGAACCGAGAAAAGGAGGGAGGACGGATGTTTTGTTAGACAAACTTAGAACCTGGCAATCTACATCCGGATGATTTAGCGTTTTTACGTGCTTCCTCAATCCCCCTCACATGCCTGTTTGCAAGCATTCTCTTCTATCCGAAACTTTACAATGCCGAATCTTGATCCATTTTTCCTCCTTTCCTCTTTTCCCCGTTCTTTTTCCCTTCAGCTGCGTCCGTCGTCCAA